CGACCGTTCTTTGTAACGGTCGACGGCTAAATTCCGCTGGATGGTTTATCTCGGGAACGCGTTATGGCGACGACGTTGGATCGCTTACCCGGTTGTAAATGGCGATGTCAGGTACTCCAGGACCGGCGCAAGTGAGCGCGTAATGCGAATGATCGGTGGAAAACTTGGCCGTGTTGTAGAGACATCGGTTTCCGTCGGTTTCCCGCACTATGTCGCAGCTCAAACACTCCGGCGGCTTACGGTCGCTGGCTCGCAACGATATCCGGTACAAATGTTGCACCGCGGAGTCTCGTTCCGTCGTGGCCAGATAGTAGCTGCAACAGAGACACGGAAGAGAATGAAGAAAGAGGAAAAGAAGCGTTGGACGAACGTTCATTTGCATAGGCTTGCTCTTTAATGGCTTTGTAATCGCGAGAACGGTTCGCGAATTTGCATCGCAACCAACTCCGCTCCGCCTTTTGTTTACTCGGCTAACACGCGTCGAAAGAAGAAACTTTTCGATGTGCTCGCGGATTTTGCGAACAAACTTCGCCAACTGGCAGGCTCGGTACCTCGGCGTCGGGATCTAGTCACCGTCGCTTCGCTCAAAGGAAGCTGCATTTAATTCCCTCGGTTACTTACTGCCCGTTTCAAATAAACGCGCAGACACTGGAACTTGGTGTCGAAACTCGATTACTTGGAACTTTGACAGGAAACAACGGACTATTTACCGTGGCCGTTTCGACCTCTTCTGCTACGGCTTCCGCGATTAGCGTTTACCAATTATCGGTAAACTTTGCCCTTTGAGGGGATCGGGAATTTTTCTCCTTCGCGTCCGTCGTCTCGTAAATTGCCGATTAAACGTTCCGAATAATTTCTACGATACCATTCGATGGATCCGCGAGCGAATATCGAGCGGGTCGAAGAGCCCCTACAATGCAGTTTTCCCCGGCCAAATTCGTGTTTAATCTAAATCTATGTCGACTTAGTCCGTCGCGCAAACCTTACGCCGCAATTTCTGTGCGCACAGATGCAGCTGGACAAACACGAGCGGTGCACCGATTCCGATCAACGAACAGGATCGTATCTTTTAATTCGAGCTATTTTATCGCGTTGGAATACGCGATATCGACGTTTATAAACGCGTGCCTTTCGATCGGAGTCGTAAATTATACTTTGCTAATAATTTCTGTTCGTATCGCGACCGTTATCGCGCAGAGATTGGTTCGCGTCGAAATGTAGGACAAGCTCCGAAGCTGTAGATTAGCATGTTGCCGTATACATATGTTATTTACTAGACGGTAGTAAATACATTCTTGGCAAGTAAGAGGGACGTATATTGCATGCCTTAGCAGGAATCTTGCGACATGTTAGGATACTGGCAATCAACTGGCCCTCTGTCAAACGTTCAGATCCAAAGCTGTTAACGTCTGATTTATAACGTTCCACTACTACTGCCGCGCGGTTCTGTGCTGCTCTGCTCTGTAAAGCGATCAAACTACTCACTCCATTTGCATTAATTCGTATTCGATTGCTCCTCGTTAACGAGGGACCGCGATTGCCTTCAATTATTCGCGTCTTTTTACAACAAATTCATGCGTATCGATCGATTTCGCAGGATACGTTCAATTAATCTTTCTCGTGTTAAACACGCGATTCCGTGCCGTAATTTTAGGCGGTATCGAAAGTATTACAGGGCAAATTTCCGAAAATATGCTCTTATAAATTATACGTTTTCACTTAAAGAACAGCGTATCGGTTATCGTTAGAAAACGATATTATTGCCGATACGAGGCTAAATTTCATATTCGTTTAATTAAAGTTTTCGGTCTCGTCGATTTCGTGATTAAGTTCTCGTTATTTTACCTCTGTACTTGGATAAATTCCTCTGATCCAGAAGCGGGAACTCGTCGAAAGTTGGCAAACTTGCTGTTATCGATAATCTGGACAGTTTCGCGATTCCGCAAGTTATTTCGCGGATGTACGAAATTACCGATCGTCGAGTGTCGAATCGCTAAACGGCTAATTGACAAGCCGACACGGTGACGCGAGTTAAATTTCGTATTTGGAATCTCGAGTTTCGTCGATTACAATCGAACGCGAAACGGCAAGATTTTCTTCATAATATTACAAACGAACAAGGTATTCGGTTGCTCGTCATCGAAATGACTGGTCGAGTGAATCGACGAAACGATGAAAATGACAATTCCGTGGTCAATATTGAAAATTAATACTAAACGAGGACACGAGATATCGGGTTCGCTCGACGTTATACAAGTTGGCGACTTTGTTCGTCGACTCTAACGGGCGAAACAGGGTAATTCAATAGCTTAGGACGGCTAATGGGTGTAGGGGTTTGACAGCCGTAGCCCCAAGATGAGCGTAAACTCTCCACCGTATCCGGGAAAATCAACGGGGGTGTAACTGGCGGCGGTAAAGGGCGGAGAAACGGGTAGAGGGTGCAGTTTCGTTGGCAAGATGGATGAGCCTCGGGTCGTTCGGAACGGATTAATTTCAATATCCTGTTAATTTGACCTCTCGCGTCGACCTTAAACGGCTCTCCTCCGTGTTTCGTGGTAGAGGGCGCGGTTCTTGCACGCGTTCTTCGATCGCAACGATCGAAGAACGATCGAGCGTTAATCGCTGCCAAATAACCTTCCAGCTTCCTAATCCTTCCCATCGACGAGCATTCCGCGTAAAAATTACATTTTTCTAATTTACGATTATTTAAACGTCGGGTTTGGGTATTTTCGCTGGACATTTAAGAAACGTGAACGTTTGGATGTAATGTTCGAGCATCGTGAAATTATTCGTATATTGAAATTCGTGAATGGCGTGAAATTCTCCGATTGATCGATTTTAAAGGGTGCTTTATTAAATTTATTTATAGAATATTCCACGCGTATTGTGCCGTTTGATTGCTTCGCATTTTTTCCGTCGGCAATGTTCCGAACACAAAATGGAAATTACAGGGACGGCTTTTCGAAGGCATAGATCACGAAATTCACCGTATAATCCGAGCAAACGGTCGTTTTCAACGGCTACACGTTGAAAAACGTGTATATTCGCGTCATAAAGTTTAATGGTGTTCGATCATTAAATTATGACGAATTTTCGATGAATCCGAATGCTAGCGCGGAATCTCGACACCGCCGATTCGTCTGTGAATTATTTCCCTGTTCATTATTCCCTTTTACCCTCGGATCTCGCCATCGAATCATTTCTGATACATTAAACTTTTAACCGTTCAATCAGTTTACGCTCGACTCTTCGTTTTGCCAAGAGTGTACGTAATTCTCGACGAGTTATGCACACATTCGGTTAAAATGTACGTAGCAAACGAAAGGGACAATTATAGCGAGTAAACAAAAGATTAAATAAACCGTATAATTAAATAAACGGATGTTTATTATGGGAATTTGTTCGGTAAAGGGCGAGAAATATTTGCCGTAGTTTCCATTAATTTACACTCGATACCAGTTTTATACGTTCGACATTGTACGAATGATTTTCTTCTCCAAAAGTTTTCCCGCTCGAAGCGAGGCTCGTCGACTCGTTAAAAAGTTTTTACCAAAGTTGCCGCGATTTTCCACGAAGGTAATTTATTTGTAACGTTCGTCCGACGCTCGAGTATCGTCGGCTTATCAGTGTTTTACGTCGATCGTTGCGTCTATTTTCGGTTGTCGGCTCTGCGCGTTCGTCAAGATTTCGTAAAGCGGTGTCCCTTTGTAATCGGTTCATCCGGCAGTTCGCTACTTCGTTGAACAAACGGAAAGTCGTAAAACGGTTGGTGCGAGGGGAGCCCCGGTGTTATAGACAGTAATTTCAGGGAGATGATCGCCGACGAGTGTGCACATAAACCTCCTGGCAAAGAGTGCCTCCTAAGTTATGTATCTTCTGAAAGCCGATGAAAGTTCTCCTGGAGCAATTTAAAGTTGCCCCTTCCTTGCACGCGGAGGTTAATACCGTCGTGTACCGGAAACCGGAACATCCGTCGTTCATCGAGCAAAGCTAACCCTACTTCGATCCTTGATTGTCCATCGCTCGAGTTATCCTTCCCATCTACGATTACGATCGAATAAATATCGTTGAAGGGATCATTTCGGAGAGACGAAATTTCTGCACCGAATCTCGATCGTCTGTTCGGAAAGTGATTAATCGATTAGCGTATCTAGGCAATCGAGGAATATTAGCTCCTTCGGGCAAATATTAGTTGGGCGCAATTGTCTACGGGTAACAAAGGAGCATCGCGAAGAGACGGAATATTTGGCGGATCGGCTAGGATTCGAATATGAAATTGCTGCTCGCGAGACGGGTAATGCCACGCTGGAAATGGATAGCTAGCAAGGACGATTTTCGAATCGAACGATTCGCTTCGATGCTGGGTATCGTTAGCGTGCCGGAAGAAACTTGACCGTTTCTTCGAACGAGTATCGCGAGATCGTACCATAGGAGGTATTCCGATGTTTGGACTTTCGTGGTCCATCCGGTTTCACTGCAGAGCACACAGAGTCTAGCATCATTTGTATTCATATGCTCGTGCACCCTGCGTGGAAAGTTGTTTCCTGTTAAACAGTTCATTCGACTACTTCTGAAACACAGTTTCTCCGCGAGCGAACGTAAACATAATGGCGAGAGCGTGCCCGCCAGAGCAGATATTATCCTGGTCTAGTAGTACCGTTTACCTTCGTACGGAGTACAACGGTCATCGAAATCCATCGAAGATTCGAGGAAATTCGTCGAACGTTGATTTTCCGAGGTAAAATCGGTTAGGTAACGATGGAACGAGGATGGTTGCAATGCGGATTACTTTCCGGCGTGCGAGAAACGGTTCAGAGACTCGGATCGTTATCGGGACGATTTGTTTCGCGGGCAGCGCGGTGAAAATAATCCTCGTGGCCGAGAAAAAGCCTTAAGCCGCGCGTGTTGCTGGCTCGCGTGCGCAAACAAACCCCTGGCTCTTTCAGAAATTACGAGCACTCCGTGACAATTCCCACGCGTTTAACAGGCTAAAACGTGCACTCGCGAACCTCGGCTCGGGGCGGTTTTAAAGCACGCCGCCATTGTTCCGTGAAGTAGGCGAGTAGAATGCTTTTTCTCGCGTGCTTTCACGATAATAGCGCGTCGAACGTCTGGCCAACGGGAAAAGTTCGACGCCACCTTCGAACGTCTACCGGGGAGGATCGTTGGCATCTTCGCCGACTGTTCTTCCGTTATATATTTCGATTCGACGAATGTTGGAAAATGTACTCGTCGGAATAGCGGATATATTTCTCGATCGAGCGCGCTTTACGCGGAAAATCCAATTAAATCGAAGCAAAGTTTCGCGGGCATT